CCCCCCCCCCCAGTTTTGTTAAATAAAGAGAGTTTCTATTTTTGAACACACCTGTCCTTTATTTTTTACATCAGGAAGGGGGGCTAGGGAGGGATAAGTGGAAGGAGGTGAGGAAGGAATGGGGTACGATCCCCCGATGGGGAGGACTGGGGTGGCTCTGAGGGCTCCTCAGGGTGGAAGCTCTCCTGCAGGGTCTCCTGGATCCTGACAACCCCTCGATTGACCCCCCTGTATGGCAGCCTGCGGCAAGTGCAGCCGGGCTGATGGCCGAGTGCTGTGATGTGCCGAGTGGGGGCACTCAGGGCACTCCAAGACAGGACTGCTTTGCTGTCCCTCATCGAGGTTGACAAGCAAGCAGGGAACCCTGAGAACTGTTTGTCCGGGGTGGGGGTCGGGTCCCTTTAAGCACAGCCCTCGGCTAGTCTGAGACAGCAGCTCCACACTCTAAGTCCTAACCTGATGCCCTGCCGGCACTGTTTCCGGCCAGCCTTAACTTTGGTTCAGGGTCCACTCAATGTGGACATGCTAGTTCGAATTAGCAAAACGCTAATTCGAACTAGTTTTTAAGTCTAGGTGCGCTAGTTCGAATTAGCTTAGTTCGAATTAACTAATTTAGTTCGAATTAGCGCTGTAGTGTAGACATATCCTAGGAGTCTTTCCTTAAATGGGTTTGCTCTTTCTCCATATACTCCTTACTAGGGCGCAATCATGGTCAGAGCAATTCATTTAAAATACAGCCAGATATTGGGGGGTAGAGGAGATGGGTTGTAGTTTTGTGCATTTTTCATTCAGCTCCACCTCAATTCTGTTTGGAGTATGACACGGACTCACTCTCTGACCCAGACCTTTTCTCAGCCTCTCTCTGTACCTCAGTGTCCCAATTTGTAAAACAGAGATGATACTTATAGTTACCCACCTTGGTAGCATGTTATAAGATATTTGGGTGAAACATATGACACAAATGCAATATGGTATTATTCTACACTCTCAATTACCTTGGCTGATGATGATCCAATATTCCTAGTGAAGGAGCACATCCTTAGTCTTAATTAATGATGCTTTCACTAGAAACCTATAGAGCTGAGCCGAGGTGTTTAAGATTTTGAAATGGGACTTTATATCGAATTGGAATGTACACAGAAAATATGAAAATTCTCTGTGAAGGAAAATTCAGAAAGCAAACAAGCAAGCAAGAAAGAAAAATTCATTTCAAAACAATAAATCAAAATGCTTCATTCTAAAAACATCAATATGGTGGGACATTGTCAGAATTTTCTTTCTAGTTTTCTTCCAAAATAAAACTGGCAAACTGACTTGTTTTCATGAAGTATATTGATTTAGATGGAACTACATATTCTGTCAGAATATGATTCTGTCAAAAGCTAAGCCTACCTGGGCACTTTACAGAGCTATAACTTTCTGGCTCAGGAGTGTGAAAAAACACCCTCTGAGTTCAGCAAGTTACAGTGCTGTGGACGCCAGTGTGAACCAGGCTACAGCACTGGGCGCCGAATACTTGCAGCATGCTCCTCCCCTCGCAGAGGTGGTTTACATAAGGCGCTGGGAAAGCTCTCAGCACTCTTGCGGTGGCCACACTTTCAGTTTAAAGTGCTGCTGCGGCTGCAGGGAAAGAAAGATGGGAGGGAATAGGATTAAGAAAGGGAGTCACGTAAACATAATCACATTTTGTAGAAGATGTTTTTGTGAATATGAAATGCTTTGTTAATTCGTATACAGGCAGTCCCCGAGTTACGCGGATCCGACTTACGTCGGATCCGCAGTTACGAACGGGGCACTTCCTCTCCCTGGTCTCGAGCAGACCAGGGAGAGGAAGCAAAGCGGCGGCGGAACCCGCGGCCAGCTGACAGCCCAGACGCGTCTGGGCTGTCAGCTGGCCGCGCGTTCTGCCGCTCTGCTCTGCTCCGCTCTGCTCCCCCTCCCCCTGGTCTGCAGACCTGGGGGACGGGGAGCAGAGCAGAGCAAAGCCGCGGAGCCCGAGGGCAGCAGGATAGCCACGGCGCGTCTGGGCAGTCCCGCTGCCCCCGTGCTCTGCGGCTTTGCTCCGGACGCCTGTGGTACAGCAGCTGCTGAAAATGACCAGTGGCTGACTACAGGAAGCCTCTGCCCCGGGCTTCCTGGAATCAGCCGCTGATCAGTTTCAGCAGCAGCTGACTTGGGGATGCCTGGGGTTCTTAAGTTGAATCTGTATGTAAGTCAGAACTGGCTTCCAGATTCAGCCACTGTTGAAACTGATCAGTTTCAGCAGCGGCTGAATCTGGACGCCAGTTCCGACTTACATACAGATTCAACTTAAGAACCCCAGGCATCCCCAAGTCAGCTGCTGCTGAAACTGATCAGCGGCTGATTCCAGGAAGCCCGGGGCAGAGGCTTCCTGTAGTCAGCCACTGGTCATTTTCAGCAGCTGCTGTACCACAGGCGTCCGGAGCAAAGCCGCAGAGCACGGGGGCAGCGGGACTGCCCAGACGCGCCGTGGCTATCCTGCTGCCCTCGGGCTCCGCGGCTTTGCTCTGCTCTGCTCCCCGTCCCCCAGGTCTGCAGACCAGGGGGAGGGGGAGCAGAGCGGAGCAGAGCAGAGCGGCAGAACGCGCGGCCAGCTGACAGCCCAGACGCGTCTGGGCTGTCAGCTGGCCGCGCGTTCTGCCGCTCTGCTCTGCTCCGCTCTGCTCCCCCTCCCCCTGGTCTGCAGACCTGGGGGACGGGGAGCAGAGCAGAGCAAAGCCGCGGAGCCCGAGGGCAGCAGGATAGCCACGGCGCGTCTGGGCAGTCCCGCTGCCCCCGTGCTCTGCGGCTTTGCTCCGGACGCCTGTGGTACAGCAGCTGCTGAAAATGACCAGTGGCTGACTACAGGAAGCCTCTGCCCCGGGCTTCCTGGAATCAGCCGCTGATCAGTTTCAGCAGCAGCTGACTTGGGGATGCCTGGGGTTCTTAAGTTGAATCTGTATGTAAGTCAGAACTGGCTTCCAGATTCAGCCACTGTTGAAACTGATCAGTTTCAGCAGCGGCTGAATCTGGACGCCAGTTCCGACTTACATACAGATTCAACTTACGAACAAACCTACAGTCCCTATCTTGTACGTAACCCGGGGACTGCCTGTATATCACTTTTGCTGTCCCAACCTCCTGCCCTCACAAAACAAGTCCATTACCCTGGAATTTTTTTTTAAAAAAATCATCATCTCAGTAATGGCTGAATTGAAGGCAGATGATCTAGCTGTTCATCATCATAAAGAGGAAGATGGCTCATGTGTTAAGCTTAAAAGTAGAAGTCTGGAGTTCACTGCTAAGTTAGAGGCTCTGGTCTCTGACTTCAGATAAAGTCATGGCATTACTTTGTGCCTCAATTTCCCCGCCTGGAAAACAGAAATATTGGCTTCCCTCAAAGGAAAATTTGGGGGCTTAATTCATTCATGCTTTAAAGTGCGTTAAGACTCTTGGGTAAAGAGCAGTTATAAAAAGCAAGACATTGTTTCTGTTTTGTTTTGTTTTTTAAGTAGAAGAAAAATGTTGGCTAAAATGTCTTTTTGTTTTGTCTTTAAAAGTTCTGGAGTGACATCCATTATTCATGAGCAGTGCCTCTCCTTCCCCTTTCAGGTACTATGCTATCTGCTGCCAACCTCTGGTTTACAGGAATAAGATGACACCGTTGCGCATTTCTCTAATGCTTGGAGGGTGCTGGACCATCCCAACCTTTATTTCCTTTCTCCCTATAATGCAAGGCTGGAATAGCATTGGCATATTAGACTTGGTGAGTAGTAAGTATGATTCCGATTGCTTGGTGTGAAATGCCTTCAGCAACTGCAGAAAAGGTGCTTTTCTCTCTTCCTCCTTTTAAATATCAGTGTTCAAAGAGATTTGAAGGAGAGAGGTATTTGTTGAATCTTACACTCAGGCCAGGTCTACGTTGGCGGAGAAAATCAATGCAAGATATGCAACTCCAGATACATGAATTATATAACTGGAGTTGACGTACCTTGCATCGATTTTCTGGGGCAGCTCCACAGCAGGAGATCGATGGAAGAAACACTCCTGTTGACTTCCCCTACTCCTTGGGACAGCGAGGAGTGCCACTGTTGATGGGGGCATTTGATTTAACAGGTCAGTCCTCCAGTAAGTGAAGACATGGCCTCAGTGATATTTCTGCAGAGGTACTTCTGAACGCCTAGAGGGTGCCCACCATGGAGATGTGGCCTTTACTTTAGGTCCAATCAGAGATCTGCCTGAGGAACAACAGCCAGATTAGGCTGAAATCTAGAGGAGGAGACTTTTGTATTTAGAAATCATGGGCCTAATTTGGAGAGGTGCTGAGCTGCCTTGTCACCACTGATTTCCAGGGATGTGAAGTTCCCTTTCAGGACTGGGCTCCTAAAGAACTTGTCACAGAGACAGTGGCAGCTCTTGGTCAGAAGTTTAGATGAGGGTTAACTCAGTAGTGCTGCACAAGGTCAAGTGGCCTTTTGAACATGCCACCGAGTGCCCTGCTGTAGGTGCCAGGCCACCTGGCATCACAGGCTCATTTTACTGTTTATAAGCTTAGCATACTCTTCAGTGTAACATTTTTTGAGGAGTACTCGTCATTTTTTGAGGAGTACTCCTCATTTTTTGAGAAGTAACGTTAGTTCGAACCAAGGGCTTTGGTTCGAACTAATGCATCCCGGCGCGCACGTCCTGGTTTGAATCAGCTGTGATTCGAACTAGCGCGCTGGCAAGATCATGCTAATAGAGCGTGGGATATTTAAATCCCGGCTTCATTAGCTACTTCACTCATCTGCATTTGCATCCCTACTCCAAACTAGGGAGCAAATGTAGACGTACCCAAAGAGATTTACCACAGCCACAGTTTTCTGACCTATCTAGTAATTTGGAGTGTCCAGCCTGACACACCTGAATGGGGCTTGGTTTTCAGAGATGGAGATGCAGCATTTTCTGAGTTATGTGCCTTGAAAGCAGGGCATTCCATCACAGAGATGCCTCAAACCCCTGCTCACTTCTGAAAGTCTTGGCCATTAATTCTAACCGTGCTGGCCTTACCTTAGTGGAGAGCTCAAGAGCTGAGTCCATCTCCTGTGGGGCCCAACCAGGCCTGGACAGCTGGGACGTGAGTTGAGATCCTGGCTAGCTTGGTGACATAAGCTCTCGCAAGTGAACCAAAAAGGATACTATTACTCTTGCTTTTTTCCTGGTCACATCAATACTCCATTCTGAATGTGACACAGTTGAGGTTTCGTGAAACCTTCCCAACCAGTCCTTTCATTGGTAAATAGTTTTTATTCCACTCCCTTTGGCTACATATATACTATGAGTTTTCTTGGCAAAAAATATGCAAACGAGGGACTCATTTGCATGAGTTGCAATCTCATTTGCGTATTTTCTGCCGATCTGTTTTTGCGCTGGGGTTTTGCACGAAAACAAGCAGTGTGGACGTTTTCTTTTTGCGCAAATCCCCCTTTTCCCACAAGATCCTTATGCCCCAAAAAAGGAGGTATACCGATCTTTCAGAAAAAGGGGTTTTTATGCAAAAAACCCACGTCCCCACTGCTTGTTTTTGTGAAAAAAAACCTAGAGCAAAAACGATTGGCAGCAAATATGCAAATAAGATCATGACTCATGCAAATGAACCCTTCATTAGCATATTTTTTGCCAAGAAAACTCATAGTGTAGATGTATCCTTTGTCTCTATTTTCAGAACCTCTTTTGTGGCAGGGGGCAAAAAATATGTAATCATCTGGCCAGTGTGTAGTTGAAGTAGTTAAGGATAATAAAAAGTAATAGAGTAAAAGTGCTCCATTTGAAGAGGGCCTGGGATGAGAGCACTCTACATGAGTCTCAGAGCAAATAAAATTAGAAACCCTGAAAGGAGATTTTAATACTGGTGGGCTCACTTTGCATTCCTAGGCCAGTCCGTCAGGTGAATTGACTGGGGGATAAGCTCAAAGATTCCTCCAGCTGGGCTTCTGGATCATTTAAGGATGATTAAAGGAATCATTTGTTCTCCTATTGATGTATTCCATTGACTTCTCTGCTTGTGTCCTTTCAGAAAAGGCTCTGCTTTTATTTCTCTGCCATCGACCCTTTACAGGGTTGCCATCACTCCTCATAATTGTCTTAAATTGATTCTCCACACTATTTACTGGGTACTCCCTGGGCAGTCCATCAGGGGAAATGAGAAAATGAGAGGTAGAGCTGCTACTCACACAGACACCTAGTGCCAGGTGTTACATGTTCAATGCCTTTCAGAAAAGGCTCTGCTTTTATTTCTCTGCCATCGACCCTTTACAGGGTTGCCATCACTCCTCATAATTGTCTTAAATTGATTCTCCACACTATTTACTGGGTACTCCCTGGGCAGTCCATCAGGGGAAATGAGAAAATGAGAGGTAGAGCTGCTACTCACACAGACACCTAGTGCCAGGTGTTACATGTTCAATGGACTTGATTCTGCAGCTGCTTGGTAGCTGGAATGTTCTCCCAGAGGATTCCCTTTTCCCCCAAACTCACATACTTCACTTGCATCCATTCTCTCCTGGCTTCTCCTTCACCTGAGGGTGCCTATGGTGTAGCCCGCAAGCCAAACACAGCCCTCCAAATTCTGTGAACTAGCCTGCAGCTCTCCTCATCTTTAATGTGACTTACAAAACAACTTACAATCTGCTTGGCTCATGATGGAGCACTACACATGGACTGGAACTCTCTATGGGCCACACTTCCTTAGTAGAATGATGAGACTGGGCAACATTTGGACATCCTTGCAAAACCGGATATAGGTGGATAATTTATAAACGACAGAGAGTAAAGGGGTTACTTTTCTCTCACTCTCCTTTCCTGTCTGGGATTGTTCTTTTTCCTTGTAGCCCTCAGTCTCTATTTAGGAGAGAGTGAATATTTCATAGCTAGATCGAGAAACTCTCTGGAGTGTTTGGAAGTGTGATGCTAACTACAGAGTAGGAGGGCAGATTCTACGGGGGGTATGTCTACACTACACACTAAGCCTGGACTCTCATTATAGTTTGAACCTAATCCCCCTTTTAGTCTACACATAAATTAGTCTGACTCTGGTCAGCAATCTCAGAATCTGGGTGGTGGGATTTTGCGGGGCTGGTTTATATGTCATCAGCTTTAGTTTGGGCCCAAGCCTTGTCATTTTGTAGCATGGATCAAGCTGCAGACTTGATAGACTTCTCTATCAGCTGCAGTGTGGCTCCAGCCCGAGCCATTGTAAATCCAGTTTTTTACAATGCAGTGTAGACGTAGCCAGAGAGAAAATAAGTGAGAGAGAGCAAATGGATGAGATCGATACACAAGATATTAGAGAGCTGAGAGAGATATGGAAGAGACAGATGGAAGCAGAAGTTGGTGGAGGGGGGCTGACAGTAACCCAAGAAGAGACTTTTTGTCATCAGAGAAGCTGTGATAAGCCTCTTTTTTTCCTTTGTCCCATTTTTACTTTCAGATACAACAAAGACAGTTCAACAAAACTTCCAACTCAACCTACTGCATATTCATGGTCAACAAGCCCTATGCCATTACTTGCTCAGTGGTGGCCTTCTACATTCCATTTTTATTAATGGTGCTGGCCTACTATCGGATTTACATCACAGCCAGGGAGCATGCCCACCAGATCCAGATCCTCCAGCGTGCAGGAGCACCCACAGAGGGAAGGCAGCACCACCCAGATCAGCATAGCTCTCACCGTATGAAGACTGAGACCAAAGCTGCCAAGACCCTGTGCATCATCATGGGTTGCTTCTGCCTGTGCTGGGCCCCGTTCTTTATCACTAATGTCGTGGACCCATTCATAAACTACACTGTACCTGGGCAGCTGTGGACAGCTTTCCTGTGGTTGGGCTACATCAATTCAGGGTTGAACCCCTTCCTGTATGCCTTCCTGAACAAGTCTTTCAGGCGTGCCTTCCTCATCATTCTTTGCTGTGGGGATGAACGATACCGAAGGCCTTCCATCCTGGGGCAAACTGTCCCCTGCTCCACCACCACTATAAATGGATCAACACACGTGCTAAGGTGAGTGCAACAGGTCCTTGTTGTCAATGGCCTTTTACTAACGGGCTAGTTTCTCTTTCTGTTTGGGCATCTGATGGTTTAGAGGTGCAACAGGAGCACCCGAAGTATCTGGGTTTGTGCTGCATGCTGTGCTAGCAGGCCTGCCATTGGATACAGTTCCATGAGTCCTACATGCACAGAGAGTTATGCAGGTGCAGTAGGCAAGTGGACATTTTTGTGGGCGCATCTCAGTTTAAATGTTTAGCACCAATTGATCAAAATTAGCACCCACTAAGACTGCTGTCATCCCTTCTCTGGTTAGGGAGCAAGCCATTATCTTTCTATGTTCAGTAATTCCTTCCTTTTAAATCCCAATCATTTCACTTTCTACACCGATGTGAGGGGCCTTCACTCCATGGCATGTCTAAGTAATGGTCTACCTTGTGGGTTTTGTCGTATTCACTGGAAGCAAATGGCCTCCAGCTAAGGTATTTTAATAATGTCTTCATTACAGTCAGTGGATCTAAGTCTATGGATCTTCCAAACAGCTGTCTGCAGTTAGACCTTGCTGGGCACACGGGATTGGGAGCCAGACAAGATAGGCTGGTGAAAGTCTCCAGAGGCAGTGTCAGCCAACGGTCAGGGCAGTGTGTAGTGTGTGTGTGTATACTATACATCCAAGACTTCAACTGCTGAGACCGGGGTCCCTTGCAGTGGGCAACCTGGAAGAGGTTGATGGGCGCCCCAATAAGTGTACAGGAAGAGCTTATTACACTTCAGATTTTAGCTGCTAGAATCTGTGATTCCTTCGCAGCGGGCAGCCTCGGGGAGGCTGAGAAGTGCCCCAACAGATTTTGCCACCTGGGTGTTACACAAATCCAAACGCACAAGCTCTTCCTATACTGTGTGTGTACTATACACCCGAGACTTCAACTGCTGAGACCGGGGTCCCTTGCAGTGGGCAACCTGGAAGAGGTTGATGGGCGCCCCAATAAGTGTACAGGAAGAGCTTATTACACTTCAGATTTTAGCTGCTAGAATCTGTGATTCCTTCGCAGCGGGCAACCTCGG